AATTGTAGTGCATTTTCCGAACTCTACACTAGATTTTATTCTAAATAATTGCAAAAAAACTATACTGCTTGACAGGAGAGTGAAGATTTATATTTAATAAATGCAAAATGTATTAATTTTATCGAATATTCGAATATATTCGAATACTCCTATCGAATATTCGAATATCAATTATTGACAATTTTGACATCCCTAAAAATTACATATATAATGCCACTGTATGCTTCACTTTAAACAACTTTTCCTCAAGAAAAATTAAAAATGAGGCTTCTTGATATCATGAACAAGTGATTCTTCGGAAAGAACAATTTCTAAAACGAGGCAAGCTATTGACAAACATCAAGTTGATGGAACAAGAATATGAGGTCATTTTTTGCAAGTTTTATGGTGGATACAATGACTTTTAAAACAAATATATCTTATCTAAAATTCAAAAACTGGCTACAGTTTGATAGTTAGTTTAGGCCATTATTTACACAAATTGTTTTCGGACTTTTTTTCCCTCGTTTCCTGTGCATGACAAGGGGCATACCGCGGGTGTGAACAGTCGGTAGGGGATGTTCATTCCTCCATGGCACCTAATCCTAAGCCTGATACTTTTGGAGGTCTATGTTTGCTCTGCTCCCGATTTGCATTGTTTAAATGTATTTTGAGCTTGAATACTTTTCGTTATCTCCATGTTTTCATTTATACAATCAAAATAACCCCTGTTAACCATTAGACGTTTTATTGTATTTGTGTATATGATAAGAAAACCCCATCATTCCTTTCTAAGGGTGCTCAAAAGACACTGATGAATAGCAATCTTCATAACAAACCTAGAAAGGTTTAAGTCTTTTTTGTAATTGTTCCCTGATATTAAAATATCTTACAATGATTAGCATCCAGCGAATACGAAGGATAAGTTCCGTAAATTTTTCCTCAAAAATTCATTTCGTTATCTTCACCTTTTATATTTATCATCTTTTAAACTATTTGCAGCAGCGTTGTCATACACAAGCAAATTAACCCGGGGACAGGTATTTGGACTTCTTTCTCAAAAAGATTCTGCTTTCCTCGATGAATCTCTAACATTAAGAACTACTATTGGTGGTCGTTCCTTTTGGTATAGGTCCATAAAAATCCTCTCGGTTAAAAGGAAAATTTGTGTAAGAATTTATTTGAAGCCCTGACTTTTCCTTGCAATAAATAAGACGATAGCTTTGAAAAGTCTGTTTGGTTACGCATTTCATAATTGCGTTCCTTTACATGTTTAGTGCTTTCTTTTGTAAATCTATGGTCGATACAATGACCTTGTTAGCAAATACAATTTATCATTGAGACAAATGACTGACGTTTTTCATACTAATTTAGTCCATTATTTATACACTGAATTGACGACGGGTTTTTTCTGTTATTTCCCGATCATGACAAGGAGCACATGCCGCGTGGGACCGGTCAGCAGGAGATGCTCCCTTCTCCATATGGCACCTGATCCCACCTCGATCTGATGTTTTGAAGGTCCGTGTTTGCTCTGCTCCTATTTGTATTGTTTTATAGACTTTGTAATTGAATACTGTTCTTTATCTCCATACACTTCTTGTATACGTAATAATGTGTATGCTTTTTTTTTCTTTTAGCATGTGTAAGGAGATATGGCACCTGTCTGAAATACAAATATTTTAAGATTCTTTCATTTGTCAGAACTCTAAAAACCTTGCTGATTAATTTTTGTGCGTTAGCAATGTCTAAATTCACTGTGATTCTGGCCTTTAGTGATATATGTATCAAGACGCTTATAGCATCGAAATTGTTGAGTATCCCTACAGATTTTATCAAATGAAATATGGAGATAGGTCCATTAAAGCAATACGTATCAGGAGCAGAGCAAGCACAAACCTCTTAAATTCATCCGACATTGTCTGAGATTAACTGCAATTTTGTAACACTCTTTTTCAATTTTTGGATTTCTTAGTCCATCTGAACATTGTATAGCATGAAAGGCTTTGCCTTTTCAGATATTAAAACCTCATCTCTTAAACTGATTACTTGGCAAGTTTTGTAATAAAGCGCAGATTTTATATACACTCTCATTAAAATATACATGGAAGAGACCATTTTTAAACAGTTTTAGCTCGATGTCTTTGAGAAGACTGTTGGAAAAAGCATCCATTTCTGGTGTTTATAAGTTCTTAAATAGTATACTTCTAGGGTATAAAAAACCAAATTAATTGTATGTACATTTGTTATGAAAAACTATATGTTGTAATACTCATTGAACGGTTCTCGTAACTAATATAAGAAAATGTATCGTTGGGTCGTATTTGACTGAGGTGTGTTATACCAAATGTTTCTTTTTTATTCAATGTGACTTCAAATAATTTCGTTTACCTGTGATGAAATCTGGAAATAACGAACAGTAATCAACTAAAAAGACCATCAAAACAATACTTATTGAGAGCAGAGCAAACACGGGCCTCTAAATCATTAGAGGTTGGATAGGGTGCAATGAAATGTGAGCCTCCCCTGTCTATCGGTCACACTAGTCGTTTGCTCCAGGACCTTCTTGTGATCAGACAAACTGGAAAATCCGCAGACAATTCAGATCAAAATATTAGTCAATATTTATGCAAAATCTTTTGCGTGAAATAAAGTTCTATTTTTATTTACAAACACAGCTGTCCAAGATGTCAAAAGGACAGGACTAAAATCTATCGTGAGAATTTGTTGTATAAAGTGTTGAAAAGTCGTACATTCTTATGTTCGTTTTGATATTATTGATTTTTGTAAAAGCTTGTGATTTCAAATTTTCTAAAAGTTATTTTGAGCCTTTTAAGCAGTATCCACATATCTGATTAACACCACCTCTAGATATCGTACAGTTGCCCCCAGAAGTTTCTTTTTTATTGTTGTATAAAGCGTAATCAAGTCTTTCGTTCTGATGTTTTGTTTTTGTTTTGGCAAGGGGTTAATTCAAATCCTCTAAACGTTTTGGGGCTTTTTGAGAATCCATAACACCCCTTATTGAATATGCTGGAAAACAAGTTAAAGGTTTGGAACCACAGTTACTGGACCCGTTAATGTTGCATGTACCTTTGCATGCAAGGAGATTTTTTACGTTTTGAAGGCAACGTAGGTACGGTAAATCAGATTCAATATCGCATTCTGGAATGTTAAAGGTATTTTAAATTCTTTTAAAATTTCTAAAAACATAAAGATAGATGGCTTGTATTTTGCCTTTGAATTGACCATTGAATGGTATGTGCGTACTTCCCTATCCTGCAAAAAATTTCCTATTTAATATAAAAAAAAATTTTGTCGCCATTTTAAAAAATGGGGCTCTCTAAATTTTGAACCTTTTATAATCCTCCTGGTCCAGGGGTTGAGCATGGGGCTATCAACTCCATCCCATAAAAAAGCCCTTGCTACAAAAACTGCAACAACATTTAAAGGATGAGGATCTTTAAATTTAGAACGTTTTATAATTTTCATTTCAGGTCATAATTTCTAACTCTCTTTACATTACAGTGACCGACAAGACAACAGTTGAAAGAAGAAGAAGACGAAAATTATTAGATGGACTAGTTTATGCTTTTCAAAATTCAGATACTGTTGGGTTCAATTATAAAATTTAAGTTTTGATGCAAGAATATATAGTTGGGGTTTTCGGTAGTAATCGGATGAAATAAAATTAAAAATTTTGATATATATTACTGTTCTTTTGTTGGCAAATTTAATCTTAAGGAACTGACAGGTTGACTGTGAATTGTTTTGCTATTTAGAGAGTCCGTGCTGAGAAACATCCATAATTACAGTAAAGTCTGTATCCTGAGCCTGAATCTAAACATGGACTTCATTTATCCGCCGAAACATGGCTGAAATATAGCCGATTTGGCGTAAAACAATACACAGACAATCATTTACAATGTATCTTCTTCAAATAGTTTATCTAGAAAGTGTCATGGGAACAGAGTAGTTTTGTGCCATTTTGATGTTTACTGACGTAAAGAATAAACGAATCAAATGCTTATTTTAATGTATGATTGATGTCCATTATAAGGTGTACTTCTTTGTGTATTTTGAAAAAGTCCGATCCTATTCACATCGGTGCACTGCTGTCCTGAAGTAATGCTGCATTTTTATTTTACTTCTGAATGTTCATTTCACTAGTATTTTCTATGGACAGTTGAAAACCTCTGGTAGCCTTAAACAGCTTTGTGCCACAATTTTAATAAAAAACAGGAAAAACTTTTAATCATCAAAATTTAATATTTAAAATGACTATTCAAAAAAGCAGTTGACACATAAGACACATGTGTTGTGCTCAAAATGACAGTCTTATATGAATAGTATCTAACAAAAAATAATGGTACATGTATATAAATAATACAGTTATCCGTTGCATACAAGCAAATCAAAGTAGTGATTTAAAAATTAACATATTTTATTCTACTGTGATGGTGGGGGATGGGAGGTGTTTAATGTTTTGAAAAAAACCTTCAGAAAAGATTTTTCTTCCAATATTAAATCCTTCCCAAACCAAGGTTGAAATACTTTGTTCTCGGATGGTTAAAGGTTAAAGTTATTTCAAAACTTTAAAGCGCGGCGTCGCGATTCATCGGCATCGAAAGCAATTTTAGTTGACTTGCCCAGGCCTTTTGCAGAGCGGTCTGTGCTGCTAGGAGTCAGTTTCCGTAGGTTGAGAGTTCAACCCCGGGTTAGGGGGAAATCTGCAAATAAGATTGTTATCACATTCGCAATAGCACACAAAAATCTTAACAGTTGCTCCAAAATGAACAAATTACATTTTTCTTTAAAATAAAACAATCTTTGTTTCAAATCAATAACGCTTTCTCATCAAATTGTAGTGATCGATGATCGGTTCTCACATGAAATCATTGCATCCTTCATTTTATGCAAATATATTCATGGATGTTTCATTATTTTACTAAATTTTGTACTTGCATTTTTACATGATTATCCGGGTAAATTAGGATTATTTTGTCGGGCTCTCCTTTGCATCAGCAAATGTCCTTCATATACTCAATAATTTTTAGTTTCCCCTTTTCTTCTAACACCCAAAGTCGGTCTTTATTGTCAATACTAATGCCATTTGGGTTGTTTAGATCGCAGTTTTCAAGAGCAGATATGAATTTTCCGTTCATGTCTAGAATGTGAATGCAATTATTATGGTAATCAGGCACCAGAATGTGACCCTGACTATCAATGGTGGCGTATCGTGGTTCGAATTTCTTTTGTGAATGAGAGATAGCCTTGCCAGAGTATTTGGATTTTAATTTTCCTTCCTTACTGAAGATAAGAACGCTCCAAGCATTCCAGTCAACTATACATATATCACCATTCTTATTTTCTGCAACGTGGAGACAGGCAAATACGCCTTCCTGTTTAAAAAGAGTCTGATTTTCAACACTTTCGATCACGGGTTTTAATGAACCATTACTAAACCGAACTACTTGGAATTTTTTCCTTTCTGCTGAAATATTTGATAGAGCAACCAGTATATCTCCTGATGCAGAACAGCATATTCCTGAAGGATTCCACTCCACATTAAACAGGATCTCTTCTCTTCCATTCTTCACTAGATTTATACTTTTACCATAAAAATCGGTATACAATAAATCTCCTTCGTTGCTCACTGCCAGACCTCGAGGAAAACCACCGGATTTTGTTTTAACATTATCCAGAGTGGAACCTTTACTATCCAGTCGAGTTATAACATTTGAGCTCCCACTTATCCAGGCCTGGTCATTTCCCAAGCAGCTGATTCGAAACGGTTGGCTGTATTCGGTATTTACGTGGGCTGTGATGACTGGCATATCAAGCAGTTCTTTAGTGTAAGAATGTAATACAAAGGGTTCTTCTTTCAATTTGCTAACGAAAGCAAATTTTTCAATGTATAATATTGATGGTAAGATTATTTGACCCACAATGCTATTAATATTGTGTTCTGTAATATTTACTCTGTTAAATGTTGCAGAGGTGACGGCGGGTAATGAGGGAAGTTTCATAAATTTGTCAACATTTGCTTTATAGTTAAGAACGTCACCTTGTCTTGAACAGAGAAGTTCCTTGTTATTTTTCATGGCCTTATAAACAGCATCTAGGTGATCTTGGAAATCCGAGAGAATGTTATTAAGTTTAGACATATCATTCTTTTCGTTCTCATCTATTTCAACAAGACGTTTATTTATCACCTTGTCCAAAGCCCTGTGCAGCTCCTGACCCTGCTCGGATATTTCGGATTTCAGATTTTTGTTTATTTTCGGTAAATCAAGAATATCTCGTTTGATCTGTGATATGATTCGATCACATTCAGGAATAATTTGCTCTTCTAGAATAAATAATTCATTAGATATGATGTCTTCTTTAATTCTGAAGATCTTGGTTATATCAGTGATTTTATGTTGACTGTGTGTTTTAGTCGAGATGCATTTGCTGCAGACAGAAACATCACACTCTTGACAATGAAAGTCGCACTTCTGTTCAACGTGTGTTTGGCAAAAGGGCATTGGAAAAGTTGCAAATTTTAGCGAATATTTAATGACATCATGTTTTAGAAGCTGGACATCTAACATATGCTTGCCAACACACGTAGCACACAGGTTTATGTCGCATGAGGTACAGAAAAGTTCTACTTTGTTTGGACATAAATGGCATTTGATCAAGACTTGAGCAGATGCAATGCTAGAGTCTTCAACATCCGTCATTTTAACCAAAACAGCAACTGTAACAGACAATGTAAACTTCATTTAGATATGCATATTCGTTTCAAAAGGTTAAAATCAAAATCTATTCAATGAAAAAGATGAAGATAACGAACAAAAAAATCTAGCTATGAACAATACAGATCTTTGAAGGGGGTCATACAACACTGACCCCTGTAAATTCAGGAGATGGAATCAATTGCCTAGGAAGAGAAAGCATCCTTTATGACCGGTCACACCCCCTCCCCCACGTGCCCTATCTCATGATCAGGCAAACGGAACATTCCGTAGTCAAACTTGATATAAAAAGGGATCTTACAGATTAAATAAAACATCTCACCCAGAATTCGACCCAAGGAGAAGTTTATATTTGCAAGCAATCTCATTATAAAGACTACAAGATTTTCCACTTCCTGACTTTAAATGAGTTTTTTCAAATAACCGTAATATCAAATTATTTGTCAGGAGCATGTCTTGGTTTGAAATTCGATTGTCATGATCGCGAGTATCAAATAAGTTGGGAATCGTAAACATATATAGGTGATAGTGGAAAACTGCTGCATAATTAAGGAAAATCACCGATGAAGCCATCTCGTTTATCATATAATTTCAGCATAGTATCAGTGGGCCAGACCCTCATTTTTTAGTATTGAAAATGTTCATTGAAAGGCCATATAAGGGTAATGATATTGGAGTCTCAGGTTAATATTGGCAGTGATACAGATTTTACCATATAGTATTCTCTATCAAATTAAATGATCTTTTACTCAACCCTCTTAGTGCCGTAGCGACATTCATGTCATTAGAGAGTTCAATGGCGAGGGGACGTTCTAGTCGTCTGTCAGTTAAGTGCCAAAACGACACATATATCGCAACGGTGTAAAAAATGAATGATTTAAAATAAAGTAATAATTATTTCCTTAAAATTGCTGATTTACTATTTTTTTATATTTATATTCAGTATAATTTTCTTTATAAAATCCATTAGAAATCCACGACGTTGAAATCTATTGCATTCAAAACACCATAACACAGACAGGGTGCCAAGATGTTAAAGCATGCGTTTTATTTTGACGTCATAATCGTTGAACGCCGAGGAAGTGCAACGTCTTAATCGATTACCAAACATTCACGCTCAAATTAACCAGAGCTGTTACGTTGTAGCTTACACGAAGGATAATACATAGGTTTTTAAATAGAAATCACATTTGCAGTTAAGATAAAAAGTTAAAAAATGAAAATATAAGCAATGAATCATCATTTTTTGAAAGATATAGTCTCATAACTGCAACGGCGTGTGCACACAAATTTTCATAACTCGCTGTTTGCACACGCCGTTGCAGTTATGAGACTATATCTTTCAAAAAATAATGATTCATTGCTTAAGGTAATTCCACCCTCCTATGATGTCATAGTTTTTTTTAAAAAAAAAAACTGTTATTAGTTCAAATTCATACCTGATAGAACAATATCTTTTGAGGGAATGCTTTTCAATAGGTGTACCAATAAATATTGTTAAATAAAAGAATTTATAAAATGCATATTTCCCCAATTTAATAGATTATTCAATCTTTAAAAAATGTTGACAAGGGCAATAATTCCTTCTCAGGTCTTTTTAGAAGGCATTTGCATTATTGTACTTCTAGTGTAAAAAAGATTCCCTGATATTCACAATTCAAAAGTATCTTATAAGTATGAAGTATTTAGGAACATTCAGCATCAGAATTATGCATTTTAATCACTTTATACAAAAATTGTTTATAAAAATGCGCGATTTTTTTGTTGTTGACATATACTTCTCTTTATTTATGTCTCTCATCCTAAATAATATGGCGACCTATACATTTTTTGCAATAATTGGAAAATTTTAAGCATATTAAATAAAGATAAATCCAGTTTTTGTACTTTAAACCATTAGAATTGTAAGAGTGGAAAGACCTTAAATAACACACGCGAAACCTTGTCACCGCATGTTAGAATACACAATTCCTTTTGTTTTATTTTCTTTTCATTTACCACTACTCTATTATAAATTGTAGTCAGTCTGGCTGACTAAAAAGTGTGTTATTACATTTTACGTTCTTGCCTTTTGCTTAATATCGAAATGTAACAACGCAAAATGTAATAATCCAAAGATCGTGTTATTACATTTTGCGTTGATCTCGACGCAAAATGTAATAACGCGAAATGTAATTATCCTTAAAAGTGTGCTGTTATATTTTGAATTATTACTTTCTGCTTTGATTTCGACACAGAATGCAGTAACGCAAAATGTAAAAATCTAGGTTTATTACATTTCGCGGTACCGTTTTTTTTTACATTTCATGTTGTAACATAGGTTTCCTTACGATACTCATCGCAAATACAAGACTGAAAAACACGTCTGCTAATCGATCAGTTGTATAACCAGCAGTTATGTAATATAACAATCAAAAGAGATAGATTTCCGGTTATGCATTTGATGCGAATAATTCCAGTACACAGGAAGAAAATTGACCCGATTCAGGCAATAATTGAAATTTTAATTAAAATATAAGAATGTGTTTTCATGAGCAGTTTATTTTTTCTTTAATTTTACTCTCTCATAAAAGATGCATGATTGTCGATTATCGACGATATTTGGTTTGAAGCAAGGACTGGTAGAGCGAAAACGCTGATCGAAAATAGTATTTTCCTGAAGCAAAATACCAGCCCTTTTATATCCCACTTTAGATACTTGTTTTAAGATGAAACTGAATCTACATTACTTAAGGAATGAAACTTAATATTTAAAGCTTTGTTATACGATATAACATAACTTGGGACAGTTTACGCTTTATAAACCGTGAAGCGATTTATAAAAAAAGCGTAAACTGATGTCGTATAATATAAGTTGAAACAAGCTTCAAGTATAGCGTATTTTAAAAGTAACGTCAAGCGGAGTAATACATTTTTGGACATTACTCAATTACATTATCCAATCAAATGACGTGTTACAACTAAAATCAAATTATATATGCGATTGAAATCTCAAGATAAAGAATAGTAAATATTTTTAAACAATATAAATTGTGAGCTGAGCGAACACAGACTTCTGAAACCGGAGTTGGAAAACAAGAATTTCGGGAAAAAAATTCTTAAATAAAAATTTGGAAATTTAGCTATTCGTGAATGTTTTATTTTTAGATGATATATTATTTCTATATTAAGTTCTCCTTTTTGCTTAGAACAGAATTGTTAACAATAGATTTTTATAGGTCTCTCTAATTTGTAAACTTAATCATTTCATTAGTGTTGAATAAAGTAAATTAAAGCTGCAAAGTAAAACATGTCGATATTATTCATGAATTTTAACTTTCACTTTGATACCACCCGTCAGCAAAGGCCCACATACCACTTACTACATGTATTGAGATGTTTGTTTTAGAAAATCCGGAATTTCATTTTCAAGAAATAAATAGAATGGAGTAGTAACATTTCTTTTCCTTATCAACGTTATCTTTGTGGAGAACATACCTGTTCATTGTTGGTATAAATTTCATTTTCCAGTTATAACTGAATACGTGTACTTATCTTTGAATCTCTTGACCTGGATTCCTGATTGTACAGACGCATACTTTAAAAGCCCTCAAAGCAACTTGCAGATCGTCAAAGATCTGGTGTAAAGCTAGACATTTAAAGAGAATAACAAAGAAAGGTGATTGTATAAACTTAAGAATTATATAATGGATAAAAAAAATCGATAATGTTGAATTATTTAGAGAGAATATCGAACATTCAAGGAATGTTTTTAAACTATTCAATATAATCAAAGAATTCAATTTACTTACAAGAATTCAATTCCCCGCTTGGATCCCAACGATACTCTGAATCATTATGCAACTTTGCCTTAATACAAAAGGCATTCATTTATTCAATAGTAACATAATACAATTACCAGACCGAAAAATCTATATATTCAGGACTATCAAGACAAAACTGGTGTTCATGTGATTAAAAGATATTTTTGTTCTACTGAGCATATATGAACTCAGATAAAAATGGTCTTAGCCCAAGGAAAAGCAAAATGATTTGTATATATTCTACATGGAAGCCCAGGTAAAATAGTAATTCAAGGTTGACAATACGTATAAAAATGTTTACGTTTTTGAAACGTACTTTAACTGTTGAAAATGAAAGCACTTCCAAATAAAACTGAGCTAGAAAACTGAAGATGAGTTGTTAATTTTGTTTAACAAAGGTTAATAAGTAGAGAAATGGAGATGAATTTGGAATAATTAAAAGAGAGTGAATATTTGAAATAAACTCATCGTCACTGGTGTCAGAATTAGGCACAAATTCTATCATTTGCTTCGTTAATATTATATGCATTTCTTTGTCAGTTATTGTCTTATCAGCCTCACTGAATTGAATTTGTTTAAGTATCGAATTCTGATAAGGCATATCGTCAAATTCAATAGAATTTGATCCTTCACATATTCCAAAATTTTTGGATCACTTGTTATCAATTTCCATTTTTCAAAATAATTTGAAATTTTTCCAACAATAAAATTGGTCCATGAATTTTGAAATTCACTCACATTTTCTGACACATATTAGTCCTGGATTACTTCTTGGACTGTTTGTTGTACGGTGTTTTCTTGTAATTCTTCATCGTTCGTTGTCCTAAAAAAGACTGGGCTCTGTAGTTTTGACTGTAGGAAAAATATTTTTAATGGCCTTCCGGCTTTGAAAATTCCGTTTTTAGCTTGGCTCATTGCCTGTTAAGCATTGCCCGGCTTTTGCTATGGTGTTCAACCGGAAATGCTGCTTTATCACCGCTTAATCAATCTAGGCGTTAGAATATAGTGCGTTTGCGCAATCAACCTTTGAGCCAATACAAACTGAATTAAACTTTCAAAGTTATCTGAAATTGTCAAAAAATAATTATAATTATATACTTTCTCTCGTCTTTTTCAATTAATTATTTGCCTAAAATATGCGAAAGGTTTTTTTTCAGGTATCCCTTTCTGCGTCAAATTCTA